TGTCCCCCTTACATTCGGAAGAATAGGGGTTTATCTGAATGCCTGCTTTCTCCTCATCCAGTTTGAAATGGGAAGGGGGACGCCATCTCCACTGCCAGGCTTTGCGCCCTGCATTCCGATGCGCGGCAGTGCGACGGCGCACTGCACTCCCTCCACTGGTCGCCTTACTAGAATTTTGCAAACTTCAGGCAGTCGCGTGGGCAGAGAGACGTTATGCACTACCTCTTCCCTTGCCATACCATAAACTCGAATAACCCCCCTGCCTCTTCAAGCACTTTCCCGCCGCTCCTGGCGGAGGAGAGGGGACGACAGAGTGGGCGACCCTTCCCTAGAGCTGCATTTATTTCTTCTAGAATGACTGGGGGACCAGGATGCCGCGCGTCCTTCACAGTGGAGTGGTTTCCTCCGCGAGAGGGAGGTAGCTTCTTCCCGCCCTCCCCGCTTATCCCCACCAACTCCCCTGCCCAGCCAAGCCAGCGTGGGAAATGGGTCCGACGTGTGCTGCATGGTGAGCAGCGCTGCCAGGCTGCCGCTGGGCCGGGAAACCTAGCTTTGCTCCCTCCCCCATCGGTCGCCAGTTCCGACCTTTCCGCCAGAGCAGCCAAGAAGTGGCAGCTCCTTTGCCCCGCAGAGCGATTCCTGTTGAAGAGAATGGAATGGGTGGGAAGCGGGTGAAGGGAGGTAAGGGAGGGACCCTCCCTGCGCCCTTGTGGCGGCCTCAAAGCCCTATCCTCTTCCGCCCCCTGTCTGGGCTCTGACACCGTCCCTCCAGCCTCCAGCGGGTGGGGTGCACTGGGTGAATGAAGGCGAGCAGCAGTTTCCCCCACCCCCACCCCATTTCCGCAGTCTTAGTGCCAGTGTCACAAGTGCTCAGCAATTTCATTAAATGGAACCCGGGGACTTAATCCTCCCAGTAGCAGACCTCACCAGGGGAATGTGATATCCGGATTCGCTCCCACCCACAGACCCCACCCGGCCTCTCAGACCCCAGGCTGCTTTTATCTTCTCAACCTGAGAGGCAAGGTTCACGAGGAAATGGGATCAAAAAGTGTAACCGGTTGCAAGAATTTAAACAGTTTGCCCTTGCTTCTGCTGCTGCCGCCGCCGCCGCCGCCACAGCCATGGCTTGTCTGGCAGACAAAACCGAAAAGGAGTAGTGTTCGAAAGCCTACATTGATCAGTAACGGGACGTCATCAAATGGAGGAAGCAAAATGTTTGAGGAAATATAGAAATGTTTGCAAGTCCCGTTTCCTTCCTTTGTTGATGTTTAAAAAGAAATTTCCCTCGATAAACCTAGATATGAACTAAACCAGATACAAAAACGAAATTGATTAAAATAAAATATCCCGTACCAATAATTGTCTAATAAAAAAGCTGGATTACTTTTCTTTGCCAAACATCGTCGCCCAAACTGAACAATTCAAATGCTTTTACAGTTAAGAATGTCGGGGACGGAGCAGAAAAAAAGAATAGTTTTCGGGCCCTGATATAGCTTGAGCCTTTTAAAAGAAGACTGAACAAAAGTAAGGACAACAAAAGTTTACGTTGAGCCTACGAAACTAGTGCCAGAGGCGGAGTCTCGGGGTTAGGAGGCCTTCATTTATAATAGACGTTCTATTATTCACACGAATACGAGAAAAAGGTTAAATACAGTAAACATGATAGCCAGTCCTGGAAAGAAATACAAAGCGGGTACAAGGGAAAAGGAGAAAGTGACTCAAGAACTCCACCAAGGGACAAACAGAGGAAATGACACCCAGCATCTCCAAATGCTTTGACCTTTCATCCTCAAAGAAAGGTTGTCTTCCAGACTTTTCTACAGGTACAGAGGTCTGTTATGCCTGTGGGATCAGCGATTTCCCTAAGTAATTTTGGTAAATCTGATAACCTCGGTCTTCCTTCTCTAGGTACTGTTTAACGTTTTTCCATTAAGCATATACTTTTAAACAGTCAACATAACAATTCATAAATATTGTCCAGTAGTGTTCAGTTGGGTCATTGAGAGACTTTGCCCACCTTTTTGTAGATTGAAATCCATGTGTGTAGTACTAAAGCGTAGTATATTGAGATGGCTGAATAATTCATTGCAATAACAGCCTTTTGATGGACATTAAAACTCAGCAATTTAAATAAGGAAACCACAGATTTCCTTTTAGGCAGGTAGTAACTGCTTCCTTTAGTGGTTATTTAATTGGTCTCTAGCCAAGAAATAACATCTCTGCTGTTTAAATCATGTATGCAAAGCTATATATTACAGCAGTAAAAGAAGAACAAAGTTAGATGATACTGCATAAAAATGTTTCTTGCTATTGGATAACTGTAAAATACTGAAACATGACTGGTATGATATCAATGTTTGCAAAGAATAAAAAAATACAGATAAAATTTGTTTATATTAATATTAGCTCATAAACTATGAGATTTTTAGATTTTAATAGAATGCTTTATGTTTTAAACTAATTCATAGAACTTGATAAAAAAGATTTCTCCTTTAATATTGGCAAAGATTTATGGTTGGTTGTTATCCCATTTATACAGTTATAATTGCCAAAATATTCAATATACACAGGTTTCCAATTTACACATCACATTAAAAAGGTTGAATTTATTACTACAACAAGAGAAACTTTGACCTCTATTTACAACATAATTTATGGGATATTTCAGATTTATCAATTTTTCACACATTCTCAATCTTAAATTTGGAAAGAAAAATGAATTTTGCCAAATGTAGATGAACAATTGCAGAAAGACCTTTGGCAGATGAGATGCAGTACAACCCATTTAGAGTCACTTGAAGCTATTCGCTGGCAACAACTATAGTAAACTGGGATATGGCAATGCATTCTGCAGGATGGCCTGAACACACTGACCATCTCTTCACTACAGAGCCAGGATATATCAAAGGTTAGTATGAACAGTTACCACTGATCTAAATGATGTGCATATTAAGAATTTGAGAGTGGGGGAAAACCTCATTATACTGGCTCAAGTAAGGGTTGCACTAAAACAACCATGCTTGTATAAGAAACCATTGAAAATCATGAATTACCTCTCTAATGCTAACTTCATGTTTTATGTTAATTTCCCATATTGGGTGGACTAGAATTTTTTAAAGCAATTTAAAGCAATTTTACTTTAATTTTACTTTAAATTTCATTACTTCAGCAGTAATGAAATTTCCAATGATTATCATTGAGACTGATTCTTAAGTATTTCTGACTTGGACCTAAAGTAGGCCAGCAATTCTAGGGCCCCTGCAGTCAGGCTGAACCTGTTGTCTAGTTTTGGGGCAGATTGAGAAGAAGGGAAATTCAAGCACTGGATGAAATAAATTGTTTCCCTCTCTAAGTAAGGCTGTTTACGAATATCAATAGAAGCAATATCCAAGGGTAGTCAACGAGTTTAAAGTGGACATGGTCTTTGGAAAGCAGTAGTATGTTTTGAATGCTTGTTTCAGTACTCATATAATGGAACCATCCAAGTAAAGCTGATTTAAAAGACTTATGAAGGTTGGCAACACCAGTTTCAGCTACACAGCCATATAAAACCTCAGGCATACTATTCAGGGACTGGTAGAATCACAATTTCATTGGCAAGATAAGTCTTTCATAAAAGTACAGACACTTATACTTGATGGCTTACACTAGCATTGTTTAGCTCTTTTTCTCTCTTGCAAATGCTAAAGAGTTTAACACCTTGAACAAGACTTTTTGATAAAAGTCTTTTTGATAAAAGTCACAGTGGGATGTTAGTAGAAAAAGGAGGCTTTGTATTTGTGGTTCTTATATTTATTTCTTGTTTACTCTGTGTAGCTAATTCTCAGCATCGTCTCCAATTGACTGTACTTAAAAAGAGAAGAAAGAACCTATTCCTATAGTGTTATAAACTAAAAGACGGACTTATAAGATGCAAAGGTGAGCATTTAGATTGACTAATTCGGAAAGCATTATGTGTTTTGTTCTATAAGTAAATAACAGAAATGATTAGCAACAGTATCTATGGTTGACAATGTGAATGTACATCCAGCACTGAAATTATGTTCTTTTGGTTCTGAGGGTTTCCCTGTCTTTCTCCCCAGATGTTAGATATAGCTTAAGCATTTCCCTCTACTTGCAAGGGGAAAATTGCTCCTACCTCCACCTTCCCCATTCTATAAAGCTTTCCTTTTCACAGAACAAAGAAAAATCATTGTCTCTAATCTTCTTTTAAAATACAGGAGACAAATTTTAGACATAAAGCAAAGGATTACCAGCCTGAAATCTTCATCACCAAAGGAATTAGAAAACAAGAAGGACTCTAAGAGAAAAATGCATGGACCCCGGAGAAGGGGAGGGAGCAGGATCTCATGAGCTAATTTGGGGGGCATGAAGGTAGGGGAGAGGGAGCTGGCAGAATGAGAGGGGGAAAAGAGGAGGGGAGAGGAGGAAATGGAGGAGCAGAAATGTTGATTCAGGGGAAGAATAGAGGAGAGCAGGATGAGAGATCAGAGGGAGCCATTATAGATCCGAGGAGAGATCTGGCACTAAGGAGATGTCCAAAGATTACAAGGATGACTTGAACTGACATTCTAGGCAATGGTGGAGAGGATACCCTAAATGCCCTTCCCTATAATCATACTGATTATATACCATACTTTATATGCCATTCTAGAGCCCTCATCCAGTGGCTGATGGAAGCACAGTCAGACATCTACAGCAAAACACTGAACTGAACTCTGGAACCCAGTTGCAGAAAAGGAGGAGTGAAGAACAAAGAGGTGGGGACCAGGCTGATGAAACCCACAGAAACAGCTGACCTGAACAAGGGGAGCACATGGATCTCAGATTAAAGTCTGGGAGGCCGTCATGGGACTGATCCAGACCCCTGAACAAGGATGTTAATGAGGAGGACTCAGTACTCTGTGGATCAGTATTTATCCCTGGTGTAAGAAGGGACTTTGAGAGCCCACCCCACATGGAGGGATGCTTTCTCAGCCTGAATACATGGGGGGAGGGCCTAGGCCCTGCCCAGGATGATATGACACACTTTGGGGAACCCCCATGGAGGGCCTTACCTTCCCTGGAGAGCAGAAGGGGATGAGGTGGGGGGCTGGGGGTAGGTGAGGGGAGCGAGAGACAAGGGATTGACATGTGAAGCAAGCCTGATTCTAATTTGAACTAATAAAAACATAATCTCTTGAGAAAAAAGAAAAAGATAAAATACAGGAGACAGGGGGAAATGTGGTGAACTTCAAAAGGTATTTTTGAAAATTAGATAAGCGCTCTTATTTTCAGTTTATTTTTTTCTGTAAAATCATGATTTTAAAAATTCTATGAGCCAGTGTGCCTTCCACTACCCACAACTATTCTCATCAGAGACAGCGATCCTTTTTCCCTCCATCCTGAATTACTCTCAAGCTTACTGTGATGTTGATGGAGCTTAGAGGAGCTCTCATGTGCACAGGCATCTTCCAAGATCACTGTACTGTGTTGGAGAGGGATGTGCTTACACAGTCACTAATTTTGATTCTCAGAAGAGTAAGAACATCAGCTATAAGAGACTAAGACTCGAAATTCCTTCCAATCCAGGCTCCTTCTTGTAACACATATAGCTTAAGTGGTACTTAAAATGCCACCTGCTTTTTTGGTGATTTTTTTTTTTTTGGGTGGATTCTGCTAATGAGAAAGGTGAGACAGGGATACATTTGTATTGCACTGTACTATTGTGGATTCACACTTGCTTTTGATCATCATTAAGTGACTTAAGCCACCATAGTGTAGAATGGCTTCCAAGGATTTTTCCAGAATTCTCTTTGGCAGCTTAGATAGTACAGAGGCATAGAATGTGTACTATCACAGGTTGCATTTGGGTGTGTCCTGGAAAAAGGAGTAGAGAAGCATCAAGGTAAAGTGCAGACCCAGAAACTAATGTACAGAAAGCATTGCCACAAAGACATGTAAAATTCTGGATGGAGTATTATGTGTTGGCATGTATATATATATATATATATATATATCTGTGAGGAAAATATATATATATATATGTTCCTCACAGTAAAATTTCCCCAAATAATTAAATTCTCATAAATTCCTTCCCCTTAAGTAGGGAAGTGAGTCTTATGGCTGAAGTCAAGAAGTCAGCAGTAGGCAGTAAGCTCCCGGATAAGATAAAATGGCACTGTCATGAAACCATCATATCTTCCATTTATTCTCCTAAAGGTCCATTAATTTTTTCCCCAAAGTCATTTGTTCTTCTAGAAATCCTCTTTTGCCCTCCCACAGCCCCTATGAAGATGGTATGTAAGCCCCACCCTAACATCTCCTAGAACCTTATTTCTCTGTCAACCCCCATGCATATGATGGAAATTAAATCTGTTCTGTATATTTCCTGCTAATCTGCCTTTTGTCAATTTATTTTCACACTGTCAAGAACCAAAACTATAAGCTAAAACAAAAATATTTCTTCCTTGACAATCCTAAGCAGAACAGAAACTCTCTTTTTAGTAATTGTTCAAGAAGGTAGCAGATAAACTATGAGCATCCTGTTTTGCATGCCTATGCTTTAAATATACATCCTGCACAGAGAATATGCAGAATACCTGTAATGTGTTCAGCTGATCATGCCCCTCCCACTTTCCACTCTCTGTTCCCTCCCCCTTTCACCAGGGAAGAGTGATTTTAACAATAGAAAGTAGTAGAAGTGACATTGTGCAAATGCCCTTCCTGATACCACTCTCCCTGAAATCCTGAGAAGCCATATAACTAAGCCTAATTACCTTCTGAGCATGCTGAAGTGGCCTCACACCATGTGTGCATTTGGGTTGACAATCTCAACTGGGCTCCACCCTCCTCTCTTCTCATCCAAGTCACCAAAAATAGGAGACAGGCCTTTTTGGATCCTCTAGACTTGTCCTTCTGTCAACTGAATACCATCTGTCCATTGAGATTGCAGGAGCCAAAGCATTGCCTGCCGGGACATGTTCCAACTCCCCGACCCTTAAGAGGGGTGAGGCATAGCTTGGTTATGCAGGCAATACATTTGGGAAGCATTTATTCCTCAGCAATAAGCCACTGAAACTTGAGTATTCTATTTGTTCATTTCATGATGTTGAATGACAGTACTAGATTTAATAATAAAACGTGTTAGTATATTATGGTTCATTTTTGTGCCAGACACCAGTCTTAACACATTCCATATGCCTAACATTTAATCCTCAAAGATTATCAGATACTAGTTTTTAAAGTGATTAGATTATGGGCATTTTTTTCTGCATTGGATAGAAGAGGATGTTGAAATTTAAGAACTTAAATATGAAGAGGTGTTATAGCTACTAAGTGACTTGGTCCAGGAAATTTCATTTTGTTCTTTTAGTTTTAAAAACCCTTGCACTGATTTATTGTAAATAACTCACATGGTGATGGAAGACTAATATAATTAGTGTATAAAGTTCTACCCATAAGTAGACCTTGGAACATTTTTCTTGTTTATATAACCTTATTTAATTAATCTTGTGGGTTTTTTCCTAGTAAAATTCTGTTATAAATACAACTAATTTTAAATGGCTGTGCTCAGAGTTCTCTGGACTAGAGCTTAGGTTATGGCTTTTTAAAAATAGATCTGCTCCACAGATAAAAGCAAATGTCTCATTTGTTCCTTTACTTTTAAAGGCAACACATGTGACTTTAAAAGTTTTGAAGGAAACCTTCTATGTGAGGAGTGTTGCTTCCAGAGGTGACGCATGATCAATAGTTAGGAAAAAGCCCCACTCATGGATACTTCACTACAATGTGTTTTATCTTTGTGAGCGGCCACAAAGTAGTGTTAGAATGAATTCTCTTTGTTTTCCTTTTATTCTTGGAACTGGCATCTCCATGAGGCCTTTGCCTACATTTTGGCTATCAGAGGACCATTTTTTTTAAACATGCTGACAGCAATTATGATCAAATAACAGTGACTAAAATAATTTAAATAGTAATCATACAATAATTTAGGGGCAACTGGATGGGCTTGAGACAGAGTCTCCTTACATACTCCAGCCTGGCCTGGAGCTCATGATTCTCCTTCCTTAGTTTCCTGATTGGGGAAATTACAGGAGGGGACCATCACATCTGACATGGTACAAACATTTGATTGGGCACTTATGCCATGATAATGTAAGCTATAGATGTGCATAAAATTATTTAAAAATAATCTTATTGATTAATATGTGTGTATGTATGTGTGTGTGTGTGTGTGTGTTTGTGTGTGTGCTTTTTTTCCTATTTCTCCCCCTGTAGGCTACATAATCCATTATGGTTTGCACCTGAGGGACAGACAACCACATACAACAAATGTACTGGAATAGCAGCCAGCACTCTTCCATCTTCCACCCCTACCCCCACAGGTTTCTTTTATAACAGATGGATTGACTGGGGTTCCACAGAGATATTCCTTTAGCAAGATGAAAACCTGTGAAGAAAAAGTTTAGGGACCAGGAGAGACACTAACGTAAGTTCTAGTCTGAAATCTGACAGGCAGGAGAGCCAAGGACAATTAATGTTTCTACCATGCACAAAGTCAGAATAAAACAACACTGAACATCACACTCTCAGGCAAGGTGGACCCAGACGTGGTGGAGTTGGGGAAGGCACTAAATAAGGTAATAATAAATAAGAGCCAAATGTATTGTATGAAATTCTTAAACATAAATAAAATATTTTAAAAAAGAAAAAAGCTTAATGATATGTTTTGGGTCATGATATTTGTATTTTACATGCTTCATTGCTGACATTTTTTGTACTCTCTTTTTTTAAAATACAAACAAACAACACAAAGAAAAAAACCTTTTGTTTCAAAACTATAACTGGCCCATTTGAAGGCCGCCCACATTGGAGAAGGCAATTTTCTGTGCTTAGTCTATGTATTCAAATGCTGTGAAAATTTTAATATAACATCAAGTATAATCTCAGAATATTGTTTGACCAAATATATAGGAACCTTATAGACTACTCAATTCATCACATGGAATCAATCACACAACATATGAACATGTAGACAGAGTTTCTTTCCTGACTGGTCCCTCTGATCTACAGTCTCAAATAAACACACTGAGGCGTATATTAATTATAAACTGTTTGGCCAATAGAGAAGGCTTCTTATTGGCTAGCTCTCTCTTAATTCTTAGCCAATTTCTATTAAACTATGTATCTCATGTGGTTGACTTACCAAAGAATTCCTATGCATCCTATCTTCCTGGTAGCTACATGGCTACTCTCTGGCTGCTCACTCTCTGCTTCCTCTCCCTAGAATTCTCTGGTAGCTCCGCTTATACTTACTGCCTGGCTACTGGCCAATCAGTGTTTTATTCCTCAACCAATAAGAAAGACATAAATGCAGAAGGACATCCCTTATCATCTTCTCTTTTATGTCTAAATAAAGAGGAAGGTTTTAACTTTAACATAGTAAAATTATTTATAACAAAAGTTATCAAGCAAGAATTATAGTTATGATATGTAGTTCACCAACATTTATCAAAATTTAATGAAAATACTCTATCATCTATCCTATCTCTGTAAGTCTAAAGTTTTATATGTAACTTATCTTTTCTCATAACTAAGGGAAAACATAACCATAACTATCTGTCTTCAACTCCATCAAAGTCCTCACATAAAATCTAGAATTGACAGAGACATCTGGTTGTTTCTACAGTCACCCAAAGTTCTTCTGTAACTTGGGGTATCCATTTTCATTGTCTGGCCTAGAGAGTCTGGCAGACTTCTCAGTGAAGCAGGAAATTTGAAACTATCCTGCCTGTATTAGCAGTTTGACAGTCATTTTCCTCTGTGTCATGCAGAATGTCTGGCAGACTCTTCCATGAATAGGAACCCTGCAGGACTGTCCCATCTTGTTTTTAGCAAGTTCAGCAGTCACTTTCCTGTGGGTCCTGCCTGTCCAGTTTATACATCACACATTCAAACAGTCCTAGTGAGAACAGTTTTTTTGCTCAAATGGGTGTCTTGCCATGTTGAAGGCAAACTCCATGCCAAGTTTCTTTGATGCCCATCTTTCTCTGTGATGTAATTCGTGTTGCCAGGAGCAGTTGTGTCTTTGTCATGGAAAACCCTAATAAACCATTTTAAATACCATATTCTGAAGGTC